CCCCAAAACCCCAAAACCCCAAAACCCCAAAACCCCATGCGGCTTAATAATTAAATTTACAATTTTTATAAATTAATAAATTCAATCTTTACAATAAAATGCAAACTACTTAGCAATCTTTTAATCAATAGAACTTGATTAATTAAACTTATTAAATGCAGCAGATGGCAATGATATCATCCTTCCCACTTCACCATGATGATTACGTTCATGATGTGTCATTTGATTTCTATGGAAAGAGGATAGCAACGTGTTCCTCAGATTAAAAGATAAGAATTTGGGAGTAAAAAAACATAGATGGGAAAATAGATTGGATATTGACTGATGACCTCACTGGTTCAAAGGGACACTCTGGCGCAGTTTTAAAAGTTAAATGGGCAGATCCAGAGTTTGGGTAGATAATTGCATCGATTGGTTACGATAAATAGATAATGGTTTGGGCCGAGGAGGATGCCAAAGACTTTGGTAAAAAGACATGGGATAGAAAGTTCGCTCACTTTTAAAAGGAAATAGTCGATATAAAATTCGCCCCAAAACATTTAGGTTTAATGCTAGCTGGTGCTTCGACGACAGGTATAGTAAAAATATATGAAGCTACAGATCCAAGTAATCTATCAAGTTGGCAATCAATCTTCGAAATAAAGACTAATTCACTTGGATGTAATTGCATATCATGGAGTAATGCTTTTGATGAACCACCAATGTTTGTCGTAGGATGTAATGATATCTAGTAAAGTTCTCAAAGTCTTGCTTTGATTCAGTAAGAGCAATAATAAAAAGAACAACAAGAAATAATGGAAGAATCTTTGGTGCAGATATATTGCTAAAAAGAAAGTTAAAACTACTCACTCTATGCTAAATTATTTAAAAATGGGCACACTGCAACTATCAATGATGTAGCATGGGCTCCTTTGATGGCCAGATCATATCATATGATTGCATCATGCTCACGTGATCAAAATGTTATAATATGGAAAGTCATTACAAGAAATATATTTGCAGGTGATCAAGGAATTCTAGAGCATCCAATCGTAGAAATTATGACTAAATATGATTCTCACAAAGCTGAAGTATGGAGATTGAGTTGGAATATGCTAGCAACATGTTTAGCAAGTAGTGGTGAGGATGGAACAGTCAGAATATATAAGAAAAATATTAAGGGTAAGTTTGCATAAATTGCTTGTCTATAATCCAAATCATGAATGAATTTTGTCATGTTAACTTATACTACCTTATTATGATTTTCACTTTAAACATTTAATTCTAACTATTAAACTTAGCAATTATAATATTTTATAAAACAATTATTTATCTTAAAATAATAAGCAATGGCATAATAGTAGTTGTCATCTGATAAAAAGATCGCTCTGCTATAGTAGCAATCCTTAAACACTCTACTATGGGAGAAAACTCATAAATTAGAATTCATGTTGAAGTAATAAATGGAAAAGAAAAAGCGTGATGAGAGAAGATTTGCCAAGAAACTTGTTAGATTAGCTAAATATTTAGAAATTAAAGGATTAAATGCTACAGAGATTGCATAAATGCTAAGAAAGACAAATGAAGCCTAGGCTTTTGAATTTAAAACTGAATCTAAGTAGCATCTATCAGGTGATAAAACTTTTTCTCAGTAAGCTAAGAAGAAGTATGAATCAGACTCAGAGGAAATTGAAGATATTGATATGCAATTGTAAAGAAAAAGAATTGAAAAGGAGAAATAGAAGAGATAGAAGATATAGTAAAAGCTTTCATAAAATGGGAATGATATATAAAAAGTAATTGATGAGACTGATAGTGATAGTGATTTTGAAAACATAAAAATGTACACTCGCGGCGAGAGATAGTACCTTGAAGATTATCTAACATTAGGGGAATTAGGAGGTAAAATCCCACCAAGTATGCTTGTAAATGTCAATTTTGAAAAATTCGCAAGAGAAAATGGATTTGAATTAATTGATTTTGAAGGAAACCTCAACCAAGAGAAAAAATAGCTACAGTGATTTAAGAGATGAAAGTAGTGATATTTTCATTTTTGGTGTCAATATTAATGAAATAGATTTATTTCAAAACTTAATCGAACTTATATAAAATTTTTAAATTCTAGATATATAGTATTCATGGGGTTTTGGGGTTTTGGGGTTTTGGGGTTTTGGGGTTTTGGGG